AGTTGCTTCTTTACAGAATGACAATGGCAGTGGCAAAAAAAGATAAATTTTGCGCCTCTGTTACTGGTTTTATACTTTGCGAGTTGTGCACTAGAAATGCACTAGAGTTGTGCACTATGATCGCAATTCCTGTTCATTTGCTTTGAAACTTTGATCATTTGCATGTGAGACCAATATGGTTTTGCAAAAGAGTGTTTACAAATACTATTAATCTTTCTTCCCTTCTAACAATAATAATTAACATGTATTATCACATTCACTAGCGGAAATTTTACTACAGAAACATTTAGTACATTTAAATTTAATTTATGCAATGATAAGTAATCAAATACAGTATGTTTTCCATTAGTGAGATATAAATATCCAAATATTATTTACAACTCCCACTGATTTTACTTTTATTTCACTGTCATTTCCCGATCAAACGTGCATAAGTAGTAGCTTAGCAATATAAACAAATCAAATGTATATTTCTTTTAAGGTCATAAAAATTTTAGTGTCCTACATTTTATTATACAGACCATCTGTTACTTTTACATAAATTGCGCAAAGACAGGATTCCGAACAATAACATGCTGTTCCTTGATATGCTTTATTTTGCCATTTTTGTGTTTCTTCAAATTGTTCAATGTTTTGCATTGAATACCATTTTCTGGATGATGCAAATTGTATTTAGTAACATTAAAATGCTAATTCAAAATCTAATTTTTTTACACAGCAATATTCTAAGACTCTCTTCAACAATCATGGAACTTTGATATCACTCTGAATAGTTTCTATTATTTGACTCGATGGTCAGGCATCTGCAGAAATAAGCAATCCCCTGTTTATATCTGTAATACCATCTGCATGTATTAAGCATTACTTTTCCTACTTTGTGAGCAAACTTCTGACAAATTCAGAGATCATATTAGAGCTGCTTTATTTTCTTTTGTTTTCTAATAAGTTGACACAAACTTCTAGCACATAACTGCTTTAGCTACTACTACTAAGTATTACTACTACTTATTTTTCCCTCTGCTACTTAATGCAAGTCATTTTTATTCCAAATATATAATGTATGCTTTACGCATGCGCGCGTTGAAAGAAATGTTTAATAAGTAAAAAATAAATATTAGCTTTCTTTTTTTTTTTTTTGCAAATTTTGATACCCTTTAGATCATAATTGCTCTTTATTTTCATAATACGGTTTCATATTTTTAATTTTATAAATTTCTCATGCCCTCTTACCAGACTTAAACTGATGATCTATAAACCAGAATCGTCGAAGTCCCCGACGAGTCCGGATAAGACTTTTGACTGTACTATGTTTGAAAACCTATGAACAACTTCAAAGACAACAGCATTGCACCTTATCTTCAGATTTCTTGTAAAGAAAAAATGTGGCATGATACGGCAATATCTAGAAAGTTTAAAAAAGTAGTTTGAAATTACAGGTACATATTAACATGGACTACAGTATATCATCTTTTGCAAAAAATTGAAGCGCCATGAATGAAGTGGTTGTTTTGATGAATTGAATATGTGTATAGCTCATACACAGACAATAAAAGATTAGTTGCTTCTTTACAGAATGACAATGGCAGTGGCAAAAAAAGAAATTTTGCGCCTCTGTTCTGGTTTTATACTTTGCGAGTTGTGCACTAGAAATGCACTAGAGTTGTGCACTATGATCGCAATTCCTGTTCATTTGCTTTGAAACTTTGATCATTTGCATGTGAGACCAATATGTTTTTGCAAAAGAGTGTATTTACAAATACTATTAATCTTTTCTTCCCTTCTAAACAATAATAAATTAACAAATGTATTATCACATTCACTAGCAGGAAATTTTGACTACAGAAACATTTAGTACATTTAAATTTAATTTGATGCAATGATAAGTAATCAAATACAGTTATGTTTTCCATTAGTGAGATATAAATATTACCAAATATTATTTACAACTCCCACTGATGTTACTTTTATTTCACTGTCATTTCCCTATCAAACGTGCATAAATGTAGTAGCTTAGCAATATAAACAAATCAAATGTATATTTCTTTTTAAGTCATTTAAAATTTGTAGTGTCCTACATTTTATTATACAGACCATCTGTTACTTTTACATAAATTGCGCAAGACAGGATTCCGAACATAACATGCTGTTCTTGATAGCTTTATTTTGCCATTTGTGTTTCTTCAAATTGTTCAATGTTTTGCATATGAATACCAGTTTCTGGATGATGCAAATTGTATTTATAGTTAACATTAAAATGCTAATATCAAACATCTAATTTTATTACACAGCAATATTTCTAAGACTCTTCAACAATCATGGAACTTTGATATCACTCTTAATAGTTTCTATTATTTGACTCGATGGTCAGGCATCTGCCAAAAAGCAATCCCTGTTTATCTGTAAACCATCTGCATGTATTAAGCATTACTTTTCCTACTTTGTGAGCAAACCTTCTGACAAATTCAGAGATCATATTAGAGCTGCTTATTTTCTTTTTTTTGCTAATAAGTTGACACAAACTTCTAGCACATAACTGCTTTAGCTACTACTACTAAGTATTACTACTTAATTTTTTCCCTCTGCTACTTAATGCAAGTCATTTTCTTATTCCAAATATATTTTTCAGTTGTAAAAAAACTCAGTCTAGAATTCTGGTGTCGTATTACTTGTGAGCAAAATTAAGAGAATTTGCACATTATATCAAATTTCTGAAAAACTAATGGACAGATTTTAATGAAATTTTGTATGAATATACATTTATAACAGAGAAAGAGATGTACCATTCAAAATTCATTTTATGTAAGCATGATTATCAGTAAAACTCATACTGCAAATATGCCTAAAATCTACATAGTGATATCGAATTTAAAATAAGTCTAGAAGGGAGATGGTCCCATCTTACAGCATGATGGCATACTGGACTGGAGGCAGTTAAGGAGACCCTGCAGCAGTCGATCTCACTCCTGCAGTTTTTAGAGGAAGGGGGACAGTGAGATTAAACTACCTTCCCTAGGCAAATATGTATTGTTAAAAAGGAAAGCTTCGCAGCAGCAGGAGTGGCTCCCTCCGCCACGAACGAAAAGGGACACAACTGCGCATGCACGAAATATCTGTCACCAAAAAGCTCGAAGCTGATGTCAAAGTTCGAACAGGTTCAACGGTCACGTTTTTCAAGAGTTTAAAGCTGTGCGACTCCATTTCCCCCAATTGACAGCTAAAATTAGACATAAACTGCAAAGTAATCAATATATAAGCAAAAAAAAAACGAAAATTTGAGTTTAAATTATCGCAAAAAGTCAAAGAACGATTCATCTTAACCCGTATTCCTCAATTTCCTTTACACGTGGCGGAGGTGGAAAATCTCGGCCAAGTACATCCCAAAGGGGAAAATTCTCGCCAACAGGTTCCGTTGCCAAATCCCTTGGCGAATTGTCCCTCCTTTTTCTAGCGGCATAGAAGACAAACTGGTTTACATTACGCCTATGGAGTCTTTCCTTCTTTACATAGACTTTCTTTTCCCTAGGGCATCTCAGACATGCTTTATAGGGCTAAAGCCAAATATCTGGCCAGACAATCCATGAGGTGAACAACCTCACTTTTCAGAGAATTGTCTCGACCAGCAGAGCCCTATCTGAATGAGCATTATTGCACATTAACAGGAACCTAGGACCAAATGCATCCTTGAAAAGTCGAACACAGGTCTCCAAGTTCTCCTCTCTGCACCTCATAGCAGTCAGGCAATTTTTGTCAAACACATATAGAGATGTGAAGCCTTTAAATGTAATGCTTGCTCAAGCCAATATGTCTCTACACCATAATGATTATTTTCTCTGATGAGGGAGGGATGCTATCGTGTTGCAGGTTCTATCCAGATACAGGTATGCCGAGAATCACAGATCAGGCTGAATTTCGACTCATCTGTAAAAGGCACAATGCTCCATCTAATCCAAGGCGCAAGTTGTCTGCATCCTGCTAAGTGCGCTCTCTTGTATGCTGCAATGAATGGGGTACAAACAACAGGCCTTCTGGCATATAGCCTACCTCGTGAAGTTTTTTGGGCAATTGTAGACCGCAAAGCTCGGGTTCCAATTGCAGCATACAGCTCACATGACAGCTGTAGAGCTATACCAGCCCCATGTCAGTGCATGCTAAAAAAAAAAAAACCTCATTCATCTTTGTGGATTTGGTCAACCTTGTCCAAGTCTTGATACGGATTGAGTGTCTTGAAACAGGTTCTACAAATTTCAGATGATACTGGGTGTTGCATTAAGCTCTGTAGTAACCTATGCTTGTGATTAGCCTGCCTGCACTATACCGCCAATTCTCCATATCATTCTGTCATTCATGGCTCCTCATTTTACCCGGTACCTTATAAAATTTACCCAAATTTTGCAAGAAACATGATGTATGTCATGAAAGACTCTGAGCATACAAATCGCTGAAACCCCTGGTGCACTTGTATCTCCTCCACAATCACAGCTCTGCAGACATGCATGAGAACACTTATGCATTTGACTGAATATTTTTATAAAAATAAGACATAAACTTGCAAATTCTCTTAATTTTGCACACAAGTACATATATATCTTTTCCTGTAACATACAGATATACTACATCGACGTCTAACACAATCATGGAAATATAATTTCATGCAATGGTCATTTCCATGTCATATTTAATGGCAAAATGCCATTTTTAGGAAAAACAGCATAATTCTTTTTCTGCTTCAAGTAAGCCACAAATTTTCAAGACTTTTCCCTAGTTAACAAATCTTTGTAAAACAAAATGCTTCAAAATTCAAATTTTGCATATCAGTTTGTAGAATAAGTTTTTATTCTTGCCAATGGGAATTTATTGTGTCCAGTAATGTTTTACACCGAGTTAATAGAAAAGTATCAAATCTTTTTCTGGAAATTTTCAACATAATAACACATAATGAAATATAAGGATTTACATAACACACTAATTATATTGAATACAAACAGCATTATAAAACATACGTGCAACAAGAAGCTCTTTTTTTGTTGCTGATTTGTCACTGGTGGGAAGAAATGTCATCTGAGTTAGGGCCACCTATAAGACAATTATAAAAATATTAAACTTTTAATTTAATAACAATTTTACATTTATATATATTTATTTTTTAACCGTTACTTATTACAACCACAGCAATTTGCAATATATTTTAGTATAAATCAGTTACAAGTTTTAAAAATTAAAAAAGAGCCTTGGTTGATCTTTACATTATGGTACTTGGCGATTTTTTTGGCAACCAACTCTCCTACAGCAACCCTCTATTTTTTTCCCCGCCCGCCATTTTGTCTTCACGAAGTAAAGACATGTTTTCTTTTCTTTTATCTACTGAACACTTCTTCCAACAATCTACTAGCCGAATTACACTTATGCTAGAAATTTTATCAAACAAACTGCTTAATCATGACAAATATTCACTGCAAAATTGGGAAAAAGTGCCACAAACCATACTCCTTACGGGTTTTTTCAAATAACACATACACATAAACCATGTACAACGCCGACTTTTTTTACTTAAAAAAAATCCCAGAATTGCACAAAAATGGCTCTTCACTATATCCATGTACACTGCTTTTTTCTCATAAATTAGAAAAATTTCACGAAAATACATGACAATTTTCTCAATCTTAAACCCGGTAAAAGAACATATATGAAATTACCTGATCGCGAAAAAGTATTTACCCTTTCCACATGACATTTCCCATATGAAATAATAAATATCCAAAACTTTTACCTCTAAATCATCTATTACATTATACACGTCACCAACGAATTCAATACCGCAAGCATTACAAATACTTAGTATCAAATATTTAAATTATTTCCATGCACGTTTACTTCAACTTAAACATATACCAATTCCTACAAACATAAAATTCACAAAATAAGTATCATTTAATTAAAATATCACTAAACCATGTACACGTCGACTTATTTTACTTAAAAAAAAATCCCAGAATGCACAAAATGGCATTGCGCACACTCTTCACTATATCCATGTACACTGCTTTATCTCATAATAAAAAAAATTTCACGAAATACATGACAATTTTCTCAATCTTTAAACCCCGGTAAAAGAACATATATGAAATTACCTGATCGCGAAAAAGTATTTACCCTTTACAAATATGAACTTTCCACATATAAAATAATAAATATCCAAAAACTTTTACCTCTAAATCATCTATTACATTATACACGTCACCAACGAATTCATACATGAAGCATTCAAATATTTATTATCAAATATTTAATTATTCCATGCACATTTATTTCAACTTAAACATACACCAAATTCCTACAAGTATAAATTCACAAAATAACTATCATTTTCATTAAAATATATTTAAATTCAAAAACACTACTTAAAATATAAATGAGCACATACATTAAATTAATAAAAATTACCTTACATCCTAATTACTTTAAAACTAAATCATTGCTAATAACAATTTTTCCAATAATACCAAAATCCTTTCCACCTTAGATTTAAAGAACAATGCATAAAAAATATCCTCAAATATTAAAAATACTAACTTACCTAATCTTCTTTCAGAATCTTGATTACGTGTCCGATAAACTTTTCTTCTTTCTGTTTCAGGATCTTTAAAATCATACTTATATTTCACAGCAAGGTACCAGGTAAAATAAATAACTTAATAAAACATCTTTATTTCTATCTCGCACAACCTTAAACAAACATTTATTACTACCCTTTTCAATACCACTAAATACCCATTTCGAATTCACTTTAGTTACGGCCATGGGATCCAAAAATTAACCAACACTGTTTCACACAACACAGAATAAAGCCAAATACAAAATTTCCAGATTTTTTCCCGATTTCCCCCCTTTTCCGATTAAAGAACCGTAATTCTTCCATTAATATCACATGACACATCCCATGATCTCTCATTTCCCTCACACAAAATAATGCATAATCGGAACTGAGTACTGCTCACATTATTACCAAAGTCCCAGGTAGTAACCTTTATCGCCTCCAAAATGTTGCCAAACTACCAATTACCATATTGTAAAGATCAACCGAAGCCTTTTTTATTCCCTTTCAGAAATATTCATAGAAAGTTAAGGACATGGAAATCAGCACCAATATTTAACATATTTCACTGTTAAAATAAAAGGTACTCCAATTTGAAATGAACCCAACAGAGCATTAATTACAAATTGGCTCAGATTTTTGATTTAAAAGATGTCTCAGAAGCTAAAACAATTCTCTCATATTTGAGAAAGTACTTTAGGAAGAAGCTCTGTAAACAGAAAAATATATATATATATATATATATATAATAATGATGTGGACGTAATTACAAAATGGGTGCTACTTTGGTAGACGGTTGCACGGATTTTTGGTGATTTATGTTGGCACAATTTTTACAATCGTCAGCCATCTTGAAAAACGTTGTTTTTACGCATAGTAAAGTATTCGAAACTTTAAAAAAATAAATATCGTTAAAAGTAATGGATTAATTTTTTGTTGAAAAATGTCGTTTTTTAAGATGGCAGGCAAGGTAATAAATACATTTACTATGAGTATAAAATACTAAAGTAAGGGCCATTATTACTTTCATTAGCAAAAAAGAGAATAAAAACCACGCTATAAAACATTGTGCCAACGTTTAATTAGATTGAAACATTACTGAAATTGAATCGATTAAAAACGAATTAAAAAACCATCCTACCAAAATTTAAAAGAATTAGAATATTCAATTCAAATACTTTAAAATACATTACATAAAATATAATTAACATTAAAACATATGTGACAATTATGTCAGCAATTTTTTGAAAATAGTGTACGTTCAAAAGTCGTTAATTCGGACACCCATAATCCGGACCTCAAAGCTACAAACTTTCTGCATGTGCGCAAGACCTTTATGGCTGCGAATATGCGCGTGCGCAAAATACGTTTACGAATGCGCGTTTAATGTATAACGGACGGTATAAGCTAAGCTAAAATTATCTAATTCAGTTAATGTTGCAGATTGCATTGTTCCTTAATCTTCGAATTGGATTCGGCTTATTATTTTTTGCAGACTGTTAGAGCAATTTTATAAAAGTAAGCTTGAACTCTCGATTATGTCAAATAGAATTTCTGATATATATTTACTAATATGTAAAGGATCTACAAAGCGAAAGTATGTTTCGAAGTCCATTAAACAAAAAGTGGAATTGCTGCAAAAAATGGATAAAGGCATATCCTTGTTTATCTAAAAATTTAACGTTGTTTATCTTTAACGCCGCGGCGCGCAATGAATTGGAAGTTGATCTGTCAGCACTATCCTTATCTTCAGGGCAGATGTTTTTTATTTTATTTGGCTTATAATTCCTTACTAAATGTAGTATTTCATCTCAATATACTCCGTCTTTGATATGATTTTAAATCAAATGCCTCGTTATTATAATTCGCTTCCGATAGCGAAGAAAGTGACAGAGGTTATTGAAAACGAAAAAATTTCAATTGACAAATTAGTCGGTATTCTCGACACAGCAATTATAGGACTTAAATAGCGGAACTTTGTAACTGAACAAGAAATTATGTCTGTTTATAGAATTAAAGAGAATGTATTATCACATAAAATACGAAGCAACTTACATTGAAAGAAATGTTTAATAAAGTAAACAAATAAATATTAAGTTTTTTTTTGTAAATTCTGATACCCTTTAGATCATAATTGTTATTTATGTCATAAATTACGGTTTCTTATTTTTTATTTTATAATTTCTGCATGCCATCTTATCAGATTTGAACTGATGATCTATAATCCACAATTGCCGAAGTCCCGACGAGTCCAGATTAACGACTTTTGACTGTATTAATTTTTTTAACAAAAATTGAAGTATACAATTATAAAACAAAAAAGAAAAATATGTACTTACATTTTTTTGAGTAATTTAACCTCTTGTTTATTGATAAGTACCACAAAAAAAAAATCGAAATCATAATTGAATCGGCTCTTTTAACCATCTTCATCTGTTATCTACATATCTCGCACTTCACTGAAGAAGCAGTTAGCGAGGTTTCCTCCAAAAATTTTAAATAAATTTCCTCTGAAGATATTAACAATTTATAAATAAATCTTTGATTAGGAAAGACAGGTTGGCCAAATTAAGGTCTCAAAGGGCAATTTTTTTATTCCAATACCAATAATTCTTGGTAATTACCAATAACAACATTCATCTTCGAAACAGAGATATCCATTCCATTTGAAATCTGACGAATTCGAAGAGATGAATAATAAAATTTTAAAATGGCGCGGTAATGCACAAATATTCAGTAACCAATCAGGGAGCTGATTACATCACGTGTAGAATTAAAATTATTTAAATAATCATTCATAATAAAATCGTTTTTAAAACAAATGCAAAATTAAATTGTATTTTAATATTTAACAGCCATAAATAATGTTTAAAACATTACATTAAATTTATAGATATTAATAAAACCAATTACTTTTTAAGTAAGGTGACGTCATTGATTACATCATCAACAACATAAAATTATATAAAATATTATAAACAAGAAAATTTTTATTTCAAATAAAAATGTAAATTAAATTGATTTTTAATATTTAGAAGGCATAAATAATATTTAAAACACGGAAGTTATGCATAATAAAACGCATTATTTTTTTAATAAAATGACAACAAAGTATTGGTTACCATAAATAACTTATCCAGCAATGGGTTTACCATAAGTTGTATTACTCGCCAAAAGAAAAATCGTCAAAATCCGTGAAAACGTCTACCAAAGTAGCACCACAAAATGTTTACATCTGATCATATCAAAAACTATTGATCTTAATGATAAGTCACTGAATTTTTTGGTCTCCACGAATTGCTCACCACTGATTCAAAGCCGTGAACAGGGAAAACCAGCTACAGCCTCTCCTCTTACTTCCTACCTCCATGCAATATTGGGGGTGGAACTGCTCAAGTGAGACTACACTTTACAACCAATGGTGAATTTCCAGTGTCCCTCGCCCCCCTGTACTCAAACTATTTAATCACAGAAGACTTCTGTCATGTTAAAGTAAGCATCATTTTGCTAAAATACGTGTCTCTTAATCCTTTGTTGCTCAGTGGTCCACTACATTGAACACTTGAATCGTTTGTGAAACCATTAAATTCAACCGTAAATGGATAAAAATGCTTTTATAATATATGAACTTTCCTTTTTAAATAGTAGATGGCAGCATATCACAAGAAGATCCAGAATTTTCACTTATGATGTGTTATTAAAATCCATTTATTTTCAAGTAATTTTCTCTATTTTTTTGGTGATACAAAAAAAAAATTTTTTTGAAAATTTTTTTTTTATAATTTTAATGGCTGTACTCTATATTATTAAAATTTTTTCATACAAAAAGCAAGCGCAGAATCACTGAACAAAACAGAGTGTTCCATCAGGGGGAACACTGCGCCTTTAGCGATCTCATGCTACTATGCATCAGAACATCCGTTCCGTAGGAGAAAACATCTGTTGTATACGTTTTCTGTTTCTGTTGTTTTCGGGAAAATGAATTCAAACAAAGTAGTATTGAAGGTGAGGTTTGTGCTATTAAAGCCCTAATATGGGCATCTTGAAATTTTTGCGAGTTCAGGCAAGAATTTTATCAGTAGCTTGTCATCCTTTCAGCAGCTCGAGTCATCACAAAACAAGTTTTGTGTGCAAAACCTGCAAAGTTGGTTTGTGCTTCTATCAAAAAGGTGTGACATGCTTTGAACAATTTCATGAAGCTAAGAAATCGAAACATTTATAAACATTTTTTTTATATAGGATTTGTGTATATACATATATTTATCTCATTTATCCAAACATATTCAAGAATATTGTGTATATCCAGGAAACCATGTATACAGCCATAATACATTGTTTTTTCATTACTATACAAAAGCTTCTACTCATTTTCGCGCTTTACTGCAATGCTTGCATAGTCACACTTTAAAAGCTCTGGCAGCACAGTGTTCCACCTCATGGAACACACACAAAATTAAAGCGGTAAGTGCAATTTTTACATGTATACTCCTTTAGGCCTAAACAGACTGAATACAACTTTTTTTGTTGAAATTCCGACGTTAAAGTATAGTGTGCCACAAAGAGTTAAGATACATTTCGAAATGTGAAAGTATGTACGTAATGTGCTGCCATGGAAAACCATGACACAATTTGCTGAACTATTAGCTTACTGTTATTATAATTATAAATATTGATGCCCAATTTCAGCTACTAGCAACAACATGATCATGTCATACCTCTAACATTTCTGCTGAGTAATTTGTTGATATGTTTTATCTTTTAGGTGGATGATGCAAATTTCTGGTTGTATATATTCTTATTTGTTAAAACAAACAAAAGCACAAAAGCTGTGTCCCAGATGATACAGACATGTACTCTAGATCTACTCCACAAGTTCAGTAGTTATACATTTTTTTTTTTTTTTTCATTTATAAATCATGTTATGATGTCTTTTATATTTTAAATTTTCACAGAAAAATAAACTAGATTTTGATTAATCTTTAATTGGGTATAAAACGAAGGACATAAGCGTTTCAGAGCAAGGCATGAATTTTAATGGCTACTGCCTTAGTAAATGTTGTTAAATAAATGTTTTTCCTAAAGTTGCCAAACTTGTACTCCTAACTGAGTTAACTCGCACATTTCATAAATTTTCCATTCAAGAGCATATAATTTAATGATTAAAAAAATACATCAAATCTTTTATGTTGATATTCTGCAGATCAATCATTCACTTCTCTCTGTAATGCTGATCAGATAATGTAGTCAGAATGAAGGTGCTAGAAAAACTTAAGAGAAATAACAAAACATTCCAACATTTTAAACACCGATTTTCAGGGTAAATGCAATTCTACGTCAGCATATAATAATTAATAATCTTTATTACGAGATATCCAGTATAAACAGTACGCTTATTAACTAACTTTCAAAAAAGGAAGATATCATTAACTGAAACATAAACTTTAATGTCTTGTAAAGAAGTTATGAAAAATAAGTTTACAATTAATTATATGCAGAACATAATAATTCTCAGGTCAGAAATATCTCATCAAATGAATATTTTAATGCATAAAACTTTGAAAATTGCATAAGAAAGCCAAAGATAAACAGCAGTGATACATTTATATACCAATATCATAAAGAGGCGAAGTCTCACATTTAAATCAAGACTTGAATTTTGTATTTTTTGGCATGCATTCCAAAAAATAGACGTTACCTCAACCGGTTAGAAATTTCATACAGATTTAGTTTTGGAGATATCGTCTGAAGTCAATGAACAAAGATTTCTAGATCACATAATATCTGCAATAGCACTCACTTTTAATTTTTCTAATATCTGACCACATTTTTCCAAATTTGGAGGCTTTTTTGACCATTCTTGAAGTAAAACTTGATAGAATTGCACTACATATTTTACAGGATCCATCACGAAACAGAAAAGCCGAAAGAATATCCTACTCACGGTTCAAAAGAATTTGTTTAATTTTACGCTTACTCATTCTTCAATTCATTTCAATTCGAATTTATGTTAATACAAATATTCGCCAGATATTATTAAAAAAATGGCAACTGCAAAAGTGCAATATTTTCTAGCAAATATATTTGTAGAAAAAACAAAACGAAAATTCTTCGTCTCTTCGCACATCTAGTTTTTCTGTATAATATAGGCCGCAGTTTGTATTCGGTTCAAATCGAAATCCTAGTCCGGACACCGTCGAGACAAAAAAACGGATTTACTAGAGAAAGAGAGAGTCTCCTCTCATAGTCTCGATCATTACACACAGATCGTATTTTATTCTCAAGTGTCAACATGTAGAAACATCTTTTTACTCCACTTCTGATAAAGATCTGGTGGGGGGAGAAAGAGAAGGGTGAAAGGAGTGTCGGATGAAAGAGAGTGAGGTCCGCACTAGCGGCGGCGAAAAAAGGGGGGTGTCAAGTGCAGTGTCGTTATAGGATGTAGCCGCGGGTGGTAAAACCGCAGAGTCAGTTTTGCGTGAATGAGTCAATTGAGGTTGTGATTCTTATGTGGGAAGGATGTCACAAGGGTAACGATGTTTTTCTCTGGGACGCGGGGAGTGTCTGAGAGTGCTAATAAGGCTGTGGTTTTACTGTGGGTTTGTACTGAATAAAAGAAGTTGACCGCTAATCATTTAATATACTCTTGAATAAGTTCGATTCGAAGGTCTTTGTGAATATAGATGTTGGGAATATACGAAGGAGCATTGATAATTTCTCGTAGAATTTTATTTTGTAGAATTTGTAATTGTTTAATATTGGTTTTAGCTGCATGTCCCCAGATCGGTGCTGCATAAAGAAGAGCTGGGCGCAGTATGGAGCGATATAGAATTAATTTGTTTTTAGTAGATAAGTTGCTTTTTCTACCAAGAAGAGGTCGCATAGTAGCGGTGGTGATTTTAAATTTTTGTACTACGGACCGGAAATGGGTTCTGAAGGTAAGTTTTTGGTCAAGGGTGACTTCAAGGTACAGTAAGACCCCGCTTAACGCGGGGGATACGTTCCATCAAAGTTGAGCGTAATGCGAAACAGCGCTAAACGAGGCTATCTTTACAAGTAAATTTTGGGGTTAGGGCAAAATGGCTAGGAAATTGGTTAGGTATTAAATTTAAAAAGTATGTTTTTTTAATAAAAATAAAACCAAACATTTATTTCTTAAAGCCCAAATTAATACCACATTATTATTTCTTGCAAAAATAAAAACAAAATATAAATAACGAAACGAATATTCTTAAAAAAACAAATAAAATTCTAAGTCAGTCATATTTAGTTAGCCTTCCGCGTTTTCAGTGTTCTGCCTTTTTGTGACAAAAGCATCTAATGTTGTTTGCCTTTTCCTTTTGCGTTGTTCTCTTAAAAGTTCTTCATAAACGGATAGAGCATCTCTAACACCACGCCTTACTTTTGAGCTCCTGTCAAAATTCGGATCATTTTCAATGAATTGATCCATTATTTCAGTTATGGTAGACAAACTCCTTTTTACAAACGCCATCAAAAGTTCTTTTTGCTCTTCTTCTGAATCACTGCTGTCAACAACATTTTTGTTTTCTTCTTGTTCAGTTAATTCCTTGAGCTCATCATTAGAAAGACTAGCCGCTGCTTCTTGAATTATTTCTTCGACATCTTCCACATTTACCCCTTCAAAATATGTCTGTACAATACCGCACCAAACAAGAAATACAAGTACACTCTTTCGGATATGTATTAGAAACCTATCGCTGCACAATATTTCGTGGAATCCCCGTATGCTGAGAGCGATTTCGTGGAATCCCCGGGTTGAAATAAAAGAGCGCTAAACCGAAACAGCGCTAAACGAAACAGCGTTAAGCGGGGTCTTACTGTATTTGGTTTCATTAATCCAGTCTATTTCTTCGTGAAATATTTCAGGGGTTGGAGGATAGTATTTCATGTTTCCTTTGCGGAAAAATACTGCCTTAGTTTTATCAGTGTTAATTTTAATCCTTCAAAGGGTAAGCCATTTTTCTAGCTTTATGATATAGCTTTGGAGTTAGTTTCTTACGGCGATACTTGTGCAGGCTTTAGTAAGTATGACGGTGTCATCGGCAAAGAGTGCAAGATGAACAGAAGGGTCTTAAGGGATGTCTTGTGTATAAATATTAAAAAGGCACGGCGAAAGTGCCGACCCCTGTGGGACACCAGCTTTGATTACTCTGGTGGTAGAGTAAGCAGTACCGATTTTGATTCTGAATGTTCTGTTGCTGAGAAAAGAGGCGAAAAAGAGGCTATTAAGCGAATAAAATGATCTGGAAAATTGAGAGTGATAGTAGTTTGTAAATAAGGCCTCGATGCCATACCCTGTCAAAAGCTTTCGCGATATCGAGAAATATAGCACCGGTCGGAAGCTTGCAGTTGTAGCCTTCAGTGATAATGTTGATAACTCTAAGAAGTTGGTGGCAAGTGCTATGATGATTACGAAAACCGAATTATTCTTCTGGGAGAAAATTCATGGAAAGGTGAATGTTTTGGATGTGGATGTTCTCAGTAACTTTAGACAGGTGGCTAAGTAATTTGATAGGGCGATAGTTTTGTGGGAGAGTTGGATTTTGTTGCGGTTTAGCAAAAACAATTATTATAGCTTGCTTCCATGAGTTAGGAAAGTGAGCGAATTTGATAATGTTGTTGATTATCTTAGTTAGGCAGGTAAGAGCTTTGATCCGAAGATGCTTCAGTGCTTTGGTTCTCGATCATTAAAGAGATCAACGCGTCGGAATTTTTTCCGTCCATTTTGTCGCTGCCGTTTTACTTTCTGACTGTCGTTTTAGAACTAAACTGAAGACGGCGGAGGTCACGGATGGTGTTTGGCCGATGCTATTCGCACTAGCGGTGCGATTATCCGCTTGAGCTATTGGCACCAACATTAACCATGCATGCGCAGTGATTTGTCGAATCTGTAATTTGAACCCAATTGAAAAGAACGGATTCTACGTACGCGAAACTGTTGTAGATCTTTTTTTAAGGCAAAATCTTTTTTTAAGGCGAACATTTTTTTTAAGGCAGGTTACTACTTTGGCGTAATTTATCATTTTTTAAGCGTTGGCGACTTTCAAAATATTAGAAAGGAAAATGGGTTCCTTTTCTTATATATATAAAAAGAAAGAACACATTTCCTTTTATTAAAGTAACTATAAAGTGCAGATTTTTATGTTCACAATGTTTATCGTTTTCCTGAACGGTTGGAATAGTTTAAATGTCTGATTTGGTGGGGGGGACAAAATCTTATTTACATTTTTTGTATTCTTAGAATACATTTAGCTTCAAAGATATGTTTTGCACAATTAAGATTTTAATTCATTTCTCTTTGAAAATGTTCGTCTTAGAAAAAATAATAAAAATTAGACGATTTCTGTCTAGAAAATTTAGATATGAAATAAGTTAAAGAGGATTACATCAATTATTAAATTAATAATTAATCATATATTACTGGTTATTAACAATTCTGTATGCCTGTTTGTTTGTTTATTTATTTATTTATTTTTGGAAATACTTGGCATTTTCAGGACACAAAAACCACTTCAAAGAACTTTGAAATATTAGTACTGTAAGCACGATTGTAAAATATTTATTGTTATTAGACAAAATATCTATTGAGAAAATGCAACAGCTAGTTTCTGGATGTCGTTCTATTTATAATTTTAAAAATATATACTGAGATGATGTACGCTTGAAGTGTTTAATGGTACGATGCAGTAAGTACGTTTGTTATGTTATGTACGTTTACGAATACGTTACGTGTAGGTTATTAAGATTTATCCTTAAATAAATGTTTGTTTGTCTTTTACAACCATTTTATGAGTAATTAATTTAACTACAAAAGGAAGTTAACATAAATCAGAAGTGGGATTATTCGGAAACCTAAGCCTAAAGCTACAAGAATTTGCTATACGTAAATAAATTGAAACGAATTTGAATTTCAAGGTATGTGCATTGATTGATGTAACATATTTATTATAGAATTTAATTTTGCTATTTTTTTATCATTTTGGAAAGAGGGGTTTTTTTCATTTCTTTAAATTTTGAAATATATTTAGAACGTCAAACAAACTTATAAAATACCAATAACTGTGTTCTACTAAGTTGTCTAATTGAAAGTTAATAATAATAGCATATATATATAATTTGCATTTTAAGGAGTACGAAAATGTCTATTTTCGGTAAGGCAAAAAAATGCGATTTAAAAATATTAGCTGAAATTGGGAGAAGATGTAAATGAGAGTCATAAAATGAGCGATTTGAAAAAGATAATTTTGGCTAGCAAAGACTACGATGAAGAATGCGCCAAAGAATGGTTGAACATTATAATAAATGAAAGAAAAGAAAAAGAAGAAATTGAAGAACGTAGGCGAAAAGAAGAAATTGAAGAACGTAGGCGAAAAGAAGAATATGAGGAAAGAAAACGAAAGTATGAAATGGAATTTGAACTGCAAAACTACGAATTTCAGCAGAATGTAGATCTACAAATTCTGGCACCAATGAAAATGCTAGTGGTACGCACATGGATCCAAAGTTAGGGCTTCATCGTTTGATGCAAAAATTTAAACCTGATGAGAATGATATCAGTTTATATTTAATCATGTTTGAACGTTTGGCTAAACAAGTTGAAATACCAGAAAATACATGGGTTACTCATTTGTTTGGTTTATTGCCGTATGATATTGCTCAGTTAATCGCTAGAGAAACCGATGAGATTGCAAATGATTATAAAGAAGTTAAAATGATCTTATTAAAACGGTACAAGATGACACCTGAAAAATTTCGCCAAAAATTTTTTACGCACAATAAGAGTGTAGGAAACACATGGAAGAATTTTGCGTATGACTTAAGAAATTTTTTTAATGAATGGATAAGCGGAACTAAGGTAGATACTTTTGAGAAACTTAGTGACCTTATTGTAGCGGATCAGATAAAACATAAAGTGTCTCCAGAAGTACAAGAACATTTTATTGACAT